CCCGCGTCTCCTGCATCGGCAGGCGGACTCTCAAGCACTGCGCCACCAGGGAAGCCCAGTCTTTGTATTTTTGAGTGGATAGCTAGGAACTTCTGAAAATACACTTCGGCTTTTTTTTATTGTTTTTTTTTTGGCTGTGTTGGGTCTTTGTTGCTGGGCACAGGCTTTCTCTAGTTGAGGCAAGCGGGGGCTACTCTTTGTTGCAGTGCATGGGCTTCTCATTGTCATGGCTTCTCTTGTTGCAGAACACACGCTCTAGAGTGCAGGCTCAGTAGTTGTGGCACACAGGCTTAGTTGCTCCACGGCATGTGGGATCTTCCCAGGCCAGGGATCGAACCCGTTTCCCCTGCATTGGCAGGTGGATTCTTAACCACTGCACCACCAGGGAAGCCCTGAAAATATACATTTTTAACGATAGCAGTTTTTGCCGGCAAACGTGATAAAATAGTGTTCCTTAAAAAAAAAAAAAAGTACAGGAAAGGGCTTCCCTGGTGGCGCAGTGGTTGAGAGTCCACCTGCTGATGCAGGGGATGCGGGTTCGTGTCCTGGTCCGGGAAGACCCCACATGCTGCGCATGCGCGTCTGGAGCCTGTGCTCCACAACGGGAGAGGCCACAACAGTGAGAGGCCCGCGTACCGCAAAAAAAAAAAAAAAAAAAAAATAGTGTCCCTATGAGTGTGTGTGAAAATGCGCACAGGAATTTCAGAAAGCGCCTGGGCACAGGTAGCGCCTGTGGGTCGACTGCATGAGCAGAAGGTGCACAAGACTGCACAAAGGTGACCCTCAATGTGACAAAACCAACCGAAACCCCCTCAAAGGAAGAACAAGGAAAACACGCTTACAGAAGTCTCCTATCGCAAAGAACCACGTTATCGTTAGGCAGGCAAAGAAAAGGTAACGTGTGTTCCGTGATCACAAATGCACATGCACACTGCTACAAGTGCATAGAAAACTCTGGAAGGAAATACGTAGAGATGGTCAACAGTAACCACTGAGGGCTTGGACGGCCCCGGTGGGTCCTGAGCAAGGTGCTCATGCATCTCATTCAATCCTCACGGCATCTGCCGAAGCAGCTGCTATTGTGCCATTTGGCGAAAAGGGAAACTGAGGTGCAGTGAAGCCCCCAATTCACCTGTGGTCACACAAAGACCCAGGTCTTAAAGCCGGGTCATTCGAGCCCCCAGCCAGCTCTCAGCCACTGTGCTACGTGGCCTCCCCCAGAGCATCAGCTTTCACTAGGGAGTGGTGAGCAGAAACAAACTTAATTTAAAAGAAAATGCTGGCAGAAGACGAATTGGCCGTGGAGCTGTGCCGGGCAGGAAGTCGACTGATATCCCATTATGCACCTTTTGTACCTTTTAAAATGTTCTATCGTGATATATTATTTATTTCCAAAAGATTAAAATCTTCGCCCTCCTGGTTTCAGAAGGCTTAGAAGGTTTAAGTGGGCCAGTGTATGTACAGGCAGAATCCTCCTCGCGTTCAGAAGCAGGAACCTCAAAACCCCTTGCTCATCCCTCAAGTCTTTTCGTCCTCAGCTGTCTCTAGCCAAAGCCTGTGCACACGGAAACCAGCTCGGACTGGAAGCGAAAGCCTCCAACGAGATAGTCTGCCAGCTGTTCCAGGCCTCCCACGCTGTCAGTAAGCAGAGGGTCTTCTCTGTGCAGAAGGGACTCAATGACACAATGAGGTGAGGGGTCCGAGGCAGAGCGACAGCCGTCTCCGCGTGACAGGGTCTGTCTGTTGTTTCAGCTGAGCCTCCTGTCACAGGGCCCCTGTGTCATCAATCCCACTGGGATCCACGTGTGTGTGTGTGTGTGTGTGTGTGTGTGTGTGTGTGTGTGT